CCCCACACACACACACGTGCGCAAGATTTCACACATACGCGCCATAGCCAGGAGTACGCGAAAACTCGCACGGTATTTCAGCAACTCAGACACTGGCCGCATAAACAAACAAACAAACGCTCTTACGAACACTCTGCCTCACGTGTGAGCATAAAAACAAGGACTACTCAACTACCCAGTCGTTACCTGCGTCCTTCAGACGGTAGAAAGACGATAAGCTGGACTCAACATTCTGTAGAAACGCCATGCACACCTTGGAAAAGTTCCAAAATGGGTGGTAGTTGAAAGACAAATTATAGTTTGTTCAAAAAGAAAAGAAAACAAATTCTCGGTAGTATGGTCGCCATAATATGATAGTGAGAAAAGGGGAGAGAGGGGACAGGGGGAAGGAGAGAGAGAGACAGAGAGAGAGGGGGTGAGAGAGAGAGTGAGAGAGAGAAAGAGAGAGAGGGGGTGAGAGAAAGAGAGAGAGGGAGTAAAAGAGAAAGAGAGATGAGGTGGAAGAGAGAGAGAGAGAGAGAGAGAGAGAGAGAGAGAGAGAGAGAGAGAGAGAGAGAGAGAGAGAGAGAGAGAGAGAGAGAGAGAGAGAGGAGGAGGGGGGGGGGGGGGAGAGAATATAAACAGTAGGCTCCCGAAGACCTGAGAAAACGAAAAGCCTGAGAAGCCGACGCTGCCATAATGATAGAGTAGGTTACATTATATCTGAAAAAGTTAGAAATAATATTTATTCCTTTACAAACTTGGTCAACTTGGACGAAAGGAAAAAAACTAACCAGCAAAGCATATTCACCCCATCACGCAAGAAGAACGAATAAAATAAGGCTCTATAATTAAAAATTACCAAAAGGAACCAACAAATTCGAGTTTGATTTTAGCAATGAGAACTCTTTCTCATTTCTCATTTTTCTTTTAATGGGGTGAAGGGTTTGAAAGAGTGAGTGAGGGGAGCGGGGAGGGGTGAGGCATTTACTGAATGCGTTCCCATTAAACTTTGGTTCAAGCCTGAAAATGAAAAGCAACTGCTCTAGTCCGGGAAGGAAAACTGATTCGTTGTGAGTGGCCTTTCGGTTGCAATAAAAAAAAAAACGTTGTACATAATGTGTATTGAATATCTGTTATGAGAAACGTATTTTCTAAGCGAACTATTTTGTAATCAAATAAATATCATCATACAGTTTTGCTGTTTTGGATGTTCAGGACATTATCTCATCGCCAAAAAGGATTTTTTTTTCAGGAATGAGGTTGGGCTTTCTTTTTCTGACATCCGTATTTGAATACCTGTTTCCTCAGCTATTGAGGAAAAAAATGGTTTTATTTAAGGTAACGGCTTTTTTAAAACACGTTTTTAAGTGGTATCAAACGTGCATGGATTATTTTTTTTCTTTCTTGAAGAGTTCGGACAACAATAAATTGTTTTCAAACTTAGCATAGAACCTGATTTTTTCCCCTTTTTTTCCCCATTTTTCTATGGTGGCAAAAACCAAACTACTCTAAAAATGAAAATTTCCCAAAACAAAGACGCTGGTTACTGTCATAGACTCTCCAGACATAATACGAGTAGAAACGATTTTATCAGAAAGGGTTTATCAGAAACTGAGAGATTATGAGACCACAGATTCACCTCCACCCCTTCCAATCCCCCCCC